TTTTTTTGAAGAAAAAAATCGGGTTGTTAAATGTGACGCTAATATAGGCTCATTTATAAGCCAAGTGCTTAGTGGAATACCCAGTGCTTCAATACGCCGGTCGCATGAATTGAGCGAAGTAAGTAAGTGCGACAACCTCGAAAATGTGATAAATAGATTGGAGCTTGTAGACGCTGAGCAAGTGAGCAGACTCGGCCTACACGGTGCACTGGTTGCATTCATAAAGGAATTTTTCTACAGATATAATGAAAATTGCACGAGATGCGGTGAAAAGCTGATCCTTGAAATAGATCCAGGTCCTCATATCATCATTGACTTGGAATTCGCAATGGAAAGTACATTTCACAAAATATTTAAAACGGATGCAACAGGATCGGCAACATTACTGGAACTACCACTTGAAATTTCTGTGAAAAACCAAAGATATATACTGAGCGGAGCTATTGAATACATTCCCTCGACAGGTACGAGCATAGGACATTATATCGCACATTGCCGAAGAATAACTGGATTTTGGGAACTTCATAATGATATGTCCAGACAGTGGCGGAAATCTACAGCATCGGATACTAAGATGGCGATCCACATAGTTATATATACTCGGACCGAGTAGCTTCTCAGCCATACGGATTTATTATAACAATATAACATGTTAATATAAGGTATCTATTTAAGAAATAAAATATACAGTTTTTGTTAAAAACTAAACTTTTTTTTACTGGGTGGGCAAACGACTTTTGTCGAAAAAAGCTATTTTTAAGCCGTCGGCAAATGATTTTTGTTAAAAAACTAATTTTTAAGAGGTGGGCAAACGATTTTTTTTTTAAATTCTTAAATTTTAAGAGGTGGGCAAACATGGGCAGTTTTTATTTTTTCGAAAAAACTATTTTTAAGGGGTGGGCAAACGACTTTTGTCGGAAAAATTAATTTTTAAGAGGTGGGCAAACGTTTTTTGTTGAAAAAACATATTTTTAAGAGGTGGGCAAACGATTTTTTTTAAATTCTTAAATTTTAAGAGGTGGGCAATCATGGGCATCTTTTATTTTTTTGAAAAAACTATTTTTAATGGGTGGGCAAACGACTTTTGTCGAAAAAAGCTATTTTTAAGCCGTCGGCAAATGATTTTTGTTAAAAAACTAATTTTTAAGAGGTGGGCAAACGATTTTTTTTTAAATTCTTAAATTTTAAGAGGTGGGCAAACATGGGCAGTTTTTATTTTTTCGAAAAAACTATTTTTAAGGGGTGGGCAAACGACTTTTGTCGGAAAAATTAATTTTTAAGAGGTGGGCAAACGTTTTTTGTTGAAAAAACATATTTTTAAGAGGTGGGCAAACGATTTTTTTTTAAATTCTTAAATTTTAAGAGGTGGGCAATCATGGGCATCTTTTATTTTTTTGAAAAAACTATTTTTAATGGGTGGGCAAACGACTTTTGTCGAAAAAAGCTATTTTTAAGCCGTCGGCAAATGATTTTTGTTAAAAAACTAATTTTTAAGAGGTGGGCAAACGATTTTTTTTTAAATTCTTAAATTTTAAGAGGTGGGCAAACATGGGCAGTTTTTATTTTTTCGAAAAAACTATTTTTAAGGGGTGGGCAAACGACTTTTGTCGGAAAAATTAATTTTTAAGAGGTGGGCAAACGTTTTTTGTTGAAAAAACATATTTTTAAGAGGTGGGCAAACGATTTTTTTTAAATTCTTAAATTTTAAGAGGTGGGCAATCATGGGCATCTTTTATTTTTTTGAAAAAACTATTTTTAATGGGTGGGCAAATTTTTTTTTCGGACAAGGCTGTTTAAAAGCCGTCGGCAAACGTTTTTTGCTAAAAAATCATATTTTAAGAGGTGGAAAAACGATTTTTTTTTTTAGATTCTGAAATTTTAAGAGGTGGGCAAACATGGGCAGTTTTTATTTTTTCGAAAAAATTGTTTTTTTGCCTTCGGCAAATGATTTTTTATTTGGTAAAAAGTTATGAAAACTTAAAAGTTCAATATTTTTTAAAGTTTTTACTTTTTCAAAATTCTAAAAGGTGGGCAAACGTGGGCAAACGATTCTCTTGCGATTAAAAAAAAAAAATTTAAAAAAGTCAACTTTTATGTTTTCGAAAATCTTCGAAAATTTTCGAACTTCCCATATTTTCAAAACTGGGGGTGGGCAAAAAAAACTAATTGGTGGGCAAAAGTGGGCAAAAAATGGGCAAACGATTCCGCTTTTCAAATTTCGAAAATTCGATTTTAGTCGACCCAACTTCTTTGAGCTGCTTTCCGTGCGCTCACCAAATGTCTGCTATAAAGTTGTAAGCCCATGAATATTATTAACTACTTAGGTTTATTATATTCGTGGGCTTACTTAGAACACTATTATAAATGCAAAACCATCATCACGATTTAAGAAATTTTACTACTCTAACTATATTGTGGAAATTACCATTAATAAGAGTATAAAAAAACATTTTGTTACCTGTTAAATGCTTATATTTATTTAATTTTTTTTTTAAATTTATTTCAATACCATTATCACGATTTATATACAAACTATTTGATTGCAATTGCCATCTATAAAGGTATACAAAGCGTTCCCTATTAAATGCTTATATTTGTTTATTTAATTTTGTTTTCATGCGCTTGTCGTTATTTATTTATTTTAAACAGGAGGTCCACTATCACAATGTTTTCAGTGTGTCTGGAGCCGAGGCTGGCTTTTGAGCCTAGGCGATATTTAATACGTCTGCCGCGTACCCAAAACTCAAGATAACAACAAAGCACAAAGGGAAACCAGCAGGAGGAAGGCATAATTAAATAAACAAATTCCCAAACTAGGCAACAGGGGAGGCAAACAAAGTGCAAAACTCAAGTGTCGCCGCAAGAGTCAAGTGAAAATGGAAAAGTGCGGGGAAAAAGGAGGCGGCCGGGGGCGTGGCCCTTCTCCTGTGACTGTGAATTACTCACCAGGCTAAAACAAAGAGTCAGTCAGCACCAGCATAGATAACAGTAACAAAGGGAGCCCCAAAAAAGGCAAAACCAGAACAAAGGTAGCAGAAAAGTACACAGAAAGAAAAGAATATTGATTACAACATAATTCCTAAGTCATATATTAGTTATGTGACTTTTTATATATTATAGATAATTATTTTGATTTGTATTAGAAGTAAGCTTTTTAACTTCAAAGATTCCAAATCAGCACGCCAACTAGTTAAATATTTTTAAAATAATCAATAAAATCTACATTCTTTTCTGAGTGCTGGAAAAAAAGGTAAGGACTTATAAGCCACACATTAGGTGAAGAATGATAGAGAACCAAAAGTTCTCTAGATAATGTTCGAAAAGCCAAACGGAACAATTGCCATTGCAATTGACCACAAAGAATTCGTCATTAAATGGACGTTACTGGAAAAACGAGAGGGAAAACAGGGGGAAAATTGTGCGGTAAAAGGAGGAAAGAGCTCAGGGGCCACAGACGAAATGTCCGGGGGTCTGAAACTGACTGCTTAATTGCTATTTTGGTTTTGTTTCATGTGCTAATTGTGCACATGCTATGCAAATTTGTTGCTCCCTTGGTCTTCTCGTCGTCTCCAAAAAATACAAAATAACAACAAAAGTGTTTATACCAAGTGAGATATCACGATGTGGCTAACAGCGAAACAACTCAATTTCAAAATAATGAATAATTTAGCGTGAGTCTAAGCTAAAAGTCACAAATTGTTTAAACCGAAAGGAAATCAACTTGAAAATATAATTAAAATGGAATTGTGGTTTCTTGTTAAATTAAAAGTAAAAATATATTGTATTTGTTTTGCAAATTAATGATGCGTTATGCGTTTACTTAAAATATAATTAAAAAATGATTTATTTATTATACCAAATTTCCTTTAACATTCGCACCGAATGATAAAGAAAATGTAGTTTACAAATTACAAATTTTACAAATCATATAAAATCATTTCTTTAACAGATGTAGTTAAACTTAGTTTTTAATAATCATGACTTCTTCATGGCATATACGAAAAGTATGTCAATGTTGCCAGTTCCGCCACGTGCATCATTTTTTTCGATCCATTTTCCCCTCGGGATTTTAAAAACAAAAATTTTTTACGACCAAAATACATGAAAACAATTTGCGAAAAAAAAGCAAAAAGCAAAAACCGCAGAGCAACTGCAAATTGCGTGCCAAATAGGGGGATGCGGGCGGGAAAATGGCGTCTGCGAGATGACTAAGACAAGGAAAATTGACGGGGGGAAAGCGGGGAAAATGGGGGCAGACTGGATAAAAACGAGCTGCTGTCCCACATATAATAATGCATTACAGTCCGACGTTATAATCCACGAAAATGCGAGCAAAATAAATAAAGTGGCAGCAACAAAACTTCAAAGAGGGAGGTGGGTGGAAGACTGGCTGGTGGGTTGTGGGCGGCAGACTAAGGCCGTAGGGTCTTCTTGGATTACGCTACTCCGCTGCCAAAATGCGCCTGTGTGACTTCAGTAAATATTGCTTAAGGCGCATCCAATATTCATGAACTTCTCGCAAACTCATAGAACAACATACAATAGTTCCACTAACAGATTGCTTTAGTTCTATAACAATGGAAAAACTTTCACTGAAAAAGGGTCTTTGAAAATACAAGTGAGGGATGGACACTTGTTTAAATAATTTTTATAAGAATTATATGTAAGCCTCTATTTCTGTCTGTTAAATAGAGTTTTTATTTTAACAATTTAGTGTTTGCACCAATAATAGGAAGATATATAAAGAATATTTTATAGCACTTTATAATTTTAAAATGTTTTAAGGAAATTATTTAAGGTTGTTATTCTTACTTATTTACAATAAGTAATTTTAGAAGAAATAGGAAAGACAGGACAGATATTTTTAGTCAAAGGTATTTTGCCCCCTACAATTACTTTGAAATTACTTTCAAAATTCCAAAAAAATCTATTCTTTGTGTTATAAAATTATTTAAACTTATAATTGGTCTAAAAAAATTGAATAATATAAATTAACTTACGGATAGAAGAAGAAGAGAAATGTGGTCAAAAGCAGCACAATCCAGGCGAAAGTCGCAGGAATGTAGCGCGTTTTCACATCGCATTTGGGCATTTTCTTATTTTCCTATTTGTTGGTACGCTTGTTGTTGTTGTTACTATTGTTGTTGTTGTTCTCGTATCAGTTGTTGTTGCAGTCTCACTTTATTGCTGTTTTGTTATTGTTGCTCTTGGCCAATGTTGTTGCTCTTTCTCTTGCTAATGTTGTTGTTGCTGTGTTGCAATGTCGTTGACCGTTTTTTTTTTCTTGGCAATGAAATGCGTTTTGCTGCTGTTGTTGTTGTCGCCTGATGTTGTTGGTTGATTGTGGTTGTTGTTGTTGTTGCTGTTGCCGCTTGATGACGTTTCTTGGCTTGGCTTTTCTCTCTCTCTCTCTCTAAGGGGGCGGGGGGCGGACAGAAAGGCGCGGGGGTCGGGGCAGAGAGAGAGGGGGGCGGGAAAAGAGCGAGATGGCGAGACGAAGCGGCGACGCGTGAAAACGGGATCGGCGACGGCTGCGTCAACGTCGACGTCGGCAGAGGCAGCGACGCCGGCAGCGCGGCTTTTAGATTCGCGGGAATCGGAAAATCGGGGAATATTTCAGCTACGACTTTTCAAAGTTCTGGCTTTTAAAACGGCTCCTGTTTTTAAAAATTAAAAAAAATATTTACGATTAGGCACACATAAAAAGAATAAATATCACTTGATTTTCACATTAAAAAACACCATATTTTCCATAGATAAAAACACACACACACTTGTATTTCAAAAATTAATATACCTAAAAATAGAACACGAACTTTATTTAAATTTAATTTAGCCCATGTGTTTGCTTTAGAAGATCCCAATATATTAGTGATGCCATTAAATGAACTATTATTTATGGATTTAATTTTGAATCCATTAATTTTAAAAATAATTTTACACGAAACAAAACAAGCAAAAAAACACAACATATATTTCGGAATTTAGCATAAGTTGTTTGTAATTTTTAAAAACATTTCAGAAATTTAAGATTATTTGGTATAAAATGTAAGAAATATTGTAGAACAAAATTTCAAAAATGTGTCACCGAACCACAATTTTTAAATTTAAATTTTTTAATTAATAAAAATAATTTTTCTCTTAGACTTGAATAAAATAGATTGGTTATATACAATCAAATCATTTTTATTTAATAAAAGAACATTCCTTTATTGGTATGAATTCTGAAATATTTTAATTTCATTTGCAAATCATTATATAATTTATTAATTAATAATTTATTTGTTTTGAATGCATGACTACTACTTAAACTTGAACTTAGCAATTTCCAAATATTATATACCGCCCGCCTTCGTTGTTTACATTAGTTTAAATTCCTGCCATTTGAGTTGTTTACTTTATTTTACATTTCTATAATTTATTCCAATTTGTTTGCGTTTCTCTCTCTTTCTCTCTTGTGGTCGAGAGCATAATTCTTGTTTTCCGTTTTTTGCTAAAATTCTCTTGATCTGTTGGTATTAGTGTTGGTATTAGTATTAGCACACCGTTTTAATTTTGATATCCAGGCAACGAAAATATAATACATAGATCGTTGACTTTCCCCTGTTTTTTTTCATACAACAATTTTCATTTTCGTGTGCGTTTTTTGTTCGCCTTTTTCGGTTTTCCCCACCTTTCTTCGTTCTCTTTTCCGCTGCTGCTTCTTCTGCCTTCTATCGCCCTCTCACTCGCTCTCTTTGCTCTTCACATATACCAACAAACACACACACTCACTCGACTCACGCACGCACGTTGTTGCTGCAACGTTTTTTTTGTTTTTTATTTCGGCGTCGCCTGCAATTTCGTTTTATTACTTGCTCTCGTTCGCACACACAGCAATCGGCGAACATTTAACTAGGCACTTTTCCGGTTTTGTGCGATTTTTCATTATTTTATGGGCGGCAGGGCGTGTGGATTACGAAAAAATAAATAAAAAAAAGCGGAGCGTACGCATAATTTCGTCGGTCGGTTCGATTTCGATAGCAGTGGCCGCTAGAGGTGGACAAATATCGATGCAACGTCGATGTCATCGATGTTTTCAAGACATCGGATATACGATACTATCGAGTTTACTTGAGATTTTTGTAACCATCGATACAATTGTCTGGGCAGGAAAGCACTACCGCTAAAAATAAGAGAGAGCGGGCTGCCAGATTGTCAACAAAGATACAAAAGCAGCCAAAATTAAATTATCAAAAAGACTTTAAAAAAAGCAATTTAAAGCTAATATACTCAAATAATTCTAAGCCAAAAATGTATTCTATTTATATAAAGGTACCCGCTTTAAAGAAGCCCAACAAAAACTTTTAACAAATCAATTAAAAATAAATAAAGAACATTTTTATGGTTTTATACATTTTGAAAACCGATTGGCTGTATATATTTTGGTCACACTGGCGCGATATCGATATGTGTAGGCGTTACTATCGAATGCTCGATAGCACGAGTTCACATCACGCCTACAACTATCGATTGTACTTTATTTTGTAAAAATAAATTTGCAAATTTGGCTAGAAAAATTCAAGTCTCTGCTGGCTAAAATCCGGACTGAAAGAACATCGAAACACGAGTCCGCAGCAGTGACTGCCGCTCAAGAGATTCGGCGACCAGGACTTCAGCGTAAAACAGCCGAAAAACAAGAAGCGGCTTTTCGCGACGACGCCGACATTGGCAGAGGAAAAGCGGGGAAAGCGAGGAAAGCGGGGACAGTCAGCGCCATCGAGCTACAGCCATGTCGCGCAGCGTGCGGGCGGAGACGCGGAGTCGGGCGAAGGATGACATCAAACGGGTGATGCAGGCGGTGGACAAGGTGCGCCACTGGGAGAAGAAGTGGGTGACCATCAGCGACACGACCATGAAGATCTACAAATGGGTGCCAATCGCCTCCGCCAGCGAGAAGAAGTCCAAGCTGGAGGCCTCGCCGGGCTCCGCCCTCAACCGCCGCCCGCCCACGAGTTCGGGGGGCGTGCCCGTCGGCGGCGGAGGCAGCGGCAGCAAGAGCGACAAGGAGAACTCGCAGAAGGGCACACCCACGCCGCCCCAGATCACGCCCAGCTACCAGGGACTCACAGCCGAGGACTCCAACACCTGTAAGAACACACTATATGGTCGCCAGGACCTTTCCGGGGACCCTTATCTCAGCTTGTGTACCAGACCCCAAGATACTACCACTTCTTATAAATTGTTTGATAATCATAATTGTACGGCGTTTGCTGAGCCTCTAGAGTCCCCAATTTAATAGAATTTTGCCTCAGACACTTATTGCTCTTTAAGATATGGTCATAATCTTTAACTTTAGGGTTACATTTCATAAAAATTGCTAAACAATCAAAATTTGATGCCCTAAAATGCCTTGTTTACAAACTTCTATACCTGTAAAAATGCAGAATATAGTAATCTGATCCCTAGTCATTTATCTGTTTATTTTTAAAACTTTTCTCTGTAAATTTTGCATTGATTTTGATCCAATATGACTCATAATTTCAAGGTAGCCGTAACTATACCTCAAGATCGTATTCAAGATCGTATTTAGAATCAATAATTGTCTGTCCTAAAATGACTTTAAGGCTGTAGAATATAGTAATCTGATCACTTGTCATTTATCTGTCCATAAGATAGTTTCAAAACTGAATTATTCAAATGTCAGGCACTTAGTAAGCGTAACGATACAGTCATAACTAATAATTGTTAAAAATGCTTTGTTTACAGACAGTTGTCTTTTCAATGTCGAATGTAGTAAACCGAATTCTTACAATTTGCATTGGTTTTTTTAATTTTTAACTCAAAAATGCTTGCTAGGGTTTCTGAAACTCTAGAGTCCAATTTTTAAAGGATTTTCTGCCTGGCATTTATCAACCCCTAAGATATTAACATAATTATTACCTATTGGGCTTCATTTAATAGAAATTCTCGTTTAGAATTCATATTATATGCCCTGAAATGCCTAGTTTACAGACTCCAATACAAGTAATTTTTCGAAATCGCCCGGGGATGAGGTGTTTGAAAACCCAGCTGCGTAAAAAAGTCTTTTCTATGGTTGTCCGTCTTATGTTGACCAAGTTGCAACAAAACGACTTCAAAGAAATGTGTTTCTTTTTTTCAAAACTCTTAAAATGTTTCATTTTATAATTTATTTTTACGATCCGATCTGTATGCTTAATAAATTTAAGCTCACTGTTCATTTTTATGTTTGTTTATTTGAAAAAAATGATGTGTGTTCTCTGTCTTATTCATGTAGGTTCCTATGACTAATTGATTACTAGGTCTAATTACAAGGAGATTTTGTTTGTTTCCATAAAACGTTTTTGGGTCTAAATGTATTAATATATGCACATTGCTTTTTTTAGTGTAAAATATCATTGATATTTTTTGTATTTTAATAGATCAATAGATCTTAAATTTAAGAAACATTTTTGTTACATTTCCAAAGATAAAAGCTGGGAAAGTAAAAAGGTAAAGTAAAGTTACCAGATCCATGCTCATCACTCACCTTTTGCAGGTTTCTCTGTCGTCTCCGACAGCCAGGGCGCCGACTTTGTGTCGAGTATGCCCTTCTCCGAGGACTCGAACTCACAGGGCAGCGACGGACCCGTGAAGCGCCTGAAGACGAGCGACTAGCCAAACATTCGCAGCCACAGCGCCGACAGCAGCAGCAGCAACTAACTTAGAGCCCTAGTTAAGTTAGGATAGCACGAGAGTATCTGCCTCAGCCCAAGACTTAAGCAATTCTCCTACTCTAACAGATTAGGACCGGCCGCTGGCCCGCCGCCAACCTCATTCAATCATCAACAGAGCGGGGCAGCTGCAGGTCGATAGGTCCATAGGATTAAGCTCAAAATGTAACAACTTATTTATTAGCACCAAACAAACCAACAAACGAATCGATCGTAAACGATCTTAGGACGGATTTGTAATAATGTAACAGAGGACTGAGAAACAAAGCAGCCAGCGTGAATGTAACGTGTTTGGATTTTCAATTTCTGTGCGATCTGACAAAAGTTAGTAAATAAATAATTGTACTAACAATGAGATAGCTTAAAGATTGCGTTTCTCATGAAATTGGGCCAACCGATTCATGATGTAGTTTTCCAAAATAAGATTTACCATGTCGATTTTTAAAGTTATTCTACACATTCAGTGAATGTAACCGACTTCAAAATCGAACCTTTTTATATTAAATGGTAATTTCTAGTTTTTGGAAAGGTAATCACGTCCAGATCGACTTAAAAAAAAGCCATTCACCCAACCAGTAATAACCATATAGAACTTACCAAATGGAATCAGACATTATCTGCTAGCAGGCCTCGAAAAACATGATAAGTGTCTACTTAACTTTCAATTTGTGTTTTAAATTTTTTATAATTTTTCTTTAATGAATGTTTTAGGATTCTTCATCTTACAATTATTTCCCGTATGTATAATAATAAAAAAAAGGTTTATTCTTTCAAAAAATAGTTTTTCATTCATTTAAAATAACATTCCATCTAGTGACCATTTTTTCCCAAGGTTTTGATACAAAAACCGATATTTTAGGAGCTTTTTTTGGGTTTTTGGAGATTTGACAAATACAAAAATTCCTAAAGCTTCCTTTTTTGTAACTTGGCCAAAATGAGAGGTAGAGCCAGAAGAGTGACTGTTTTGGACAGCTAGCAAACTATACTACGCATCTAAAATCGGTTTAGAGCCATTTATTTGGTTTTAATATGAAAAATCGATTTCTCAAAATAGACTTTTGAAAAATTAACGTTATGGCCAATTTTCGCATTTTTGATAAGGGGATACATCATCATTTTTTGCGAATTTTCGAATATCTGAAAAATTTGTAACTGAGAATGCCATTTGATTGGCAATTTAATGACGAATTCGCCGATGTATGACATTCCATCTAGTGACCATTTTTTCCCAAGGTTTTGACACAAAAACCGATATTTTAGGTGCTTTTTTTGGGTTTTTGGAGATTTGACAAATACAAAAATTCCTAAAGCGTCCTTTTTTTGTAACTTTGCCAAAATAAGAGGTAGAGCCAGAAGAGTGACTGTTTTGGACAGCTAGCATCCTATACTACGCATCTAAAATCGGTTTAGAGCCATTTATTTGGTTTTAATATGAAAAATCGATTTTTCAAAATAGACTTTTGAAAAATTAACGTTATGGCCAATTTTCGCATTTTTGATAAGGGGGTACATCATAATTTTTTGCGAATTTTCGAAAATCTGAAAAATTTGTAACTGAGAATGCCATTTGATTGGCAATTTAATGACGAATTCGCCGATGTATGACATTCCATCTAGTGACCATTTTTTCCCAAGGTTTTGATACAAAAACCGATATTTTAGGAGCTTTTTTTGGGTTTTTGGAGATTTGACAAATACAAAAATTCCTAAAGCTTCCTTTTTTGTAACTTGGCCAAAATGAGAGGTAGAGCCAGAAGAGTGACTGTTTTGGACAGCTAGCAAACTATACAACGCATCTAAAATCGGTTTAGAGCCATTTATTTGGTTTTAATATGAAAAATCGATTTTTCAAAATAGACTTTTGAAAAATTAACGTTATGGCCAATTTTCGCATTTTTGATAAGGGGGTACATCATAATTTTTTGCGAATTTTCGAAAATCTGAAAAATTTGTAACTGAGAATGCCATTTGATTGGCAATTTAATGACGAATTCGCCGATGTATGACATTCCATCTAGTGACCATTTTTTCCCAAGGTTTTGACACAAAAACCGATATTTTAGGTGCTTTTTTTTGGGTTTTTGGAGATTTGACAAATACAAAAATTCCTAAAGCGTCCTTTTTTTTGTAACTTGGCCAAAATAAGAGGTAGAGCCAGAAGAGTGACTGTTTTGGACAGCTAGCAAACTATACTACGCATCTAAAATCGGTTTAGAGCCATTTATTTGGTTTTAATATGAAAAATCGATTTTTTAAAATAGACTTTTGAAAAATTAACGTTATGGCCAATTTTCGCATTTTTGATAAGGGGGTACATCATAATTTTTTGCGAATTTTCGAAAATCTTTATTGGTTGTTTATTTGGTTTTAATATGAAAAATCGATTTTTCAAAATAGACTTTTGAAAAATTAACGTTATGGCCAATTTTTGCATTTTTGATAAGGGGGTACATCATAATTTTTTGCGAATTTTCGAAAATCTGAAAAATTTGTAACTGAGAATGCCATTTGATTGGCAATTTAATGACGAATTCGCCGATGTATGACATTCCATCTAGTGACCATTTTTTCCCAAGGTTTTGACACAAAAACCGATATTTTAGGTGCTTTTTTTTGGGTTTTTGGAGATTTGACAAATACAAAAATTCCTAAAGCGTCCTTTTTTTTGTAACTTCAGATTTTCGAAAATTCGCAAAAAATTATGATGTACCCCCTTATCAAAAACGCGAAAATTGGCCATAACGTTAATTTTTCAAAAGTCTATTTTGAAAAATCGATTTTTCATATTAAAACCAAATAAATGGCTCTAAACCGATTTTAGATGCGTAGTATAGGTTGCTAGCTGTCCAAAACAGTCACTCTTCTGGCTCTACCTCTTATTTTGGCCAAGTTACAAAAAAGGACGCTTTAGGAATTTTTGTATTTGTCAAATCTCCAAAAACCCAAAAAAAGCACCTAAAATATCGGTTTTTGTATCAAAACCTTGGGAAAAAATGGTCACTAGATGGAATGTCATACATCGGCGAATTCGTCATTAAATTGCCAATCAAATGGCATTCTCAGTTACAAATTTTTCAGATTTTCGAAAATTCGCAAAAAATTATGATGTACCCCCTTATCAAAAATGCAAAAATTGGCCATAACGTTAATTTTTCAAAAGTCGTTTTTGAAAAATCGGTTTTCATATTAAAACCAAATAAATGGCTCTAAACCGATTTTAGATGCGTAGTATAGGTTGCTAGCTGTCCAAAACAGTCACTCTTCTGGCTCTACCTCTTATTTTGGCCAAGTTACAAAAAAAGGACGCTTTAGGAATTTTTGTATTTGTCAAATCTCCAAAAACCCAAAAAAAGCACCTAAAATATCGGTTTTTGTATCAAAACCTTGGGAAAAAATGGTCACTAGATGGAATGTCATACATCGGCGAATTCGTCATTAAATTGCCAATCAAATGGCATTCTCAGTTACAAATTTTTCAGATTTTCGAAAATTCGCAAAAAATTATGATGTACCCCCTTATCAAAAATGCAAAAATTGGCCATAACGTTAATTTTTCAAAAGTCGTTTTTGAAAAATCGGTTTTCATATTAAAACCAAATAAATGGCTCTAAACCGATTTTAGATGCGTAGTATAGGTTGCTAGCTGTCCAAAACAGTCACTCTTCTGACTCTACCTCTCATTTTCGCCAAGTTACAAAAAAGGACGCTTTAGGAATTTTTGTATTTGTCAAATCTCCAAAAACCCAAAAAAAAAGCACCTAAAATATCGGTATCAAATGGCATTCTCAGTTACAATTTTTCAGATTTTCGAAAATTTGCAAAAAATAATTGATGTACCCCCTTATCAAAAATGCAAAAATTGGTCATAAAGTTAATTTTGGCCAAGTTACAAAAAAAGGACGTATAAGGAACTTTTTATTTGACCCAAAACAAAACACCTAAAAAATCGGTTTCTGTATCAAAACTTTGAGAAGTAATGGTCAAAAGATGGAATATACTGCATAGGTGAATAAGTCAATAAATTGCCAAAAAAAAGCTTATTCACCCAACCAGCAATATCCAAACAAAACTTACCAAATGGAATCAGAAATTATCTGCTAGCAGTCCTCGAAAAACATGATAAATGTCTACTTAACTTTCAATTTGTGTGTTTTACATTTTTTATGATTTTTCTTTATTGAATGTTTTAGGTTTCTTCATCTTACAAGTTCCCCCCCGTATGTATAATAATAAAAAAAAGGTTTATTCTTTCAACAAATAGTTTTTCATTTCATTTGTAGTTTTACTCTTATTATGTTCTGGTTTTTCGTTATCCATTATGTAGCTTGACATTAAATATACAATTAACTTCACATATAGCGTTGTATATGGCCCGATTGGCGTATACAGCTTTAGTTTCTTTCATCTTTCACTAAAATTTATGCTAAAAACACGCTTAAATGAAGGGAAGCACAGATTTTGCACAGAGAACGAAAATGAAAAAAAATGCACACACATTACTACGACTTTCGACGAGAAAGATAAATCATAAATCATAATACAATTCATAAATCGATGATATAATTAAAAAATAAAATATGTATATATATATATATATATATATATATTGATGTGTAAAAAAACACGCGCGACAAGTTTCAACTACGCACACACAAAACGAAAAAAAAATAGAAAAGCAGATTGGCTTGCGCGAGAGCCAAACAAAAAAAAGGGAGAAAGGAAAAGCTTCGCTTTTCTTTGCTGCACAGTGTGGGCGGGGGAGGGCGTGGCGAGGGGGTTTTTGCAAATTTTCATTTTTGGAATGTATTGCGAATTTTGAATCTCGAAAAGCCCCTATTTTTCTGGATTATTAGCACTTTCCTGGCTCCTTGTCTCTCTGTGTGTGCTCGAATAAATAATTAAATTAATTATTATAAATATATATATGTGTGGGGAATGCTTGCTTGCTTGCTTTTTTTTTTGTTTTTGTGTCCTGGTTTTAGCACAAAAGTGTTCTCTTTCGCTTTGTTACATTTAGTTTTACACATATAGTATATATTTTGTTGTATATTTTTAGCTCGCTTTTTTTGTTGTTTTTTGTTTTTGTTTGTTTTAGAAAAATATATAGAAATCCTAGCTGGGAATTGTCCCTTAGTTACCTTGTGTATACATATAGATATTTTGTTTTCCGATTTACATATATATATATATATATATATATATATATGTATAGTTAATATTGTCATTTAGCTTTCAAAAAAATATACTTTTTGCCTTAATTTTGTTTCGTTTATCGTTTTTGCTTGCTTTTTACAATTCTCCTTTTGCGCAAAAGTATGGTGATTAGCAAAAAAAACATTAGTTTCACACAAATACAAAAAAAAAAAAACAATTACGGTAGGCTACAAAAAGTTGGCTTTACAAAAATTGCTGTGTGTGTGGCTCTTAGTGTTTTCGTGTACATTTATAGTTTAATTTTTTACGTTTTATTTAATAATAATTGCAACAGTTTTTTTTTTGTTTTTAGTTGGTTTTCTCTTGTGGGGGGTTGCATATATGTTTCTTTTTTGGATATGTTTTTTGCCGACCTCCACCGCTGCCTCCGCCTCTTCTCGTATTGCTCCTCTCCCTCTCCGTGGGTGGTGTGTGTGTGTGTTTTCTTTTGGGGGCAAGGCTAGACCTTGGTGGTGACCTTGCCAGCGGTGGCTACCTGCCAGGATTTGTGATGTTTACTACTAGAGCGTCCCTGTCCCTGCTGCTGATGTTGCTGCTGTTGCTGATGTTGCTGTTGCTGCTGCT